TCGACAACACGTATTACAGCACCCCCTCCTTAAACACTACCCACGATCTTTCCAGTCACAATTTGGGCCCAAATTATTGTATATATGACGTGACAAACCAGAGGTTCTTATACGGGTTTTAAAAATTGTATATGTGCTTGTAAATTTCGATCCAGGAATAAATTTAAAACCTCTTATATTTTACCCCCCCCCCCTCCAACTCTATTTTTGATGAGAGACATTCGTTCAGTGATTCAAGTCGCCCTTGTAACGGGTTTCACGCGCATACAACATTGCTTTTGAGGCAAGCTAAACATCGAAATTATAACTGACTCTTTATGTAACACTATAATATTTAATATTTTGAATTGTTTCATTTTGGTCCGTTACACTATTAATCACCAATTGTCAATAGATTTTCCGTCAAGTGCAACAATATATATTTTGAGATAAATAAGTGACCAAAATATATATTGTTGCACTTGACGAAAAATCTATTGACAATTGGTATAATATTTAAGTTTTCTGCTTTAAAGACAAGGAATCATTTTTATAATACGACCCGCCAAATGAAAGGGTCTGTTTACGTAAGAGGCAAAAAAGAGGTACTTTTGTCCCTAGGCTTCATTAGGAAAACACCACTTCATGAAGACATGCACTATCAATATAGGATAAATTTTCCACGCTACTGTTCATAAATTCTATCTGTAACACACGTTGATTTTGTGACTTCTCAACGAAAATATCATATAAATACATGGGCTATTCGGAGGGTAACTTCCGGTGACCTGTTGACAAAACAAGCAATGAATAAAAGTATTACACGTATATACAAAAACACATGCGTCCTTAAGCTACTCCTCAACTTAATCCCCACTGAAATTGAGACGTTCGGCATATCGGGGCATAACATTGTTTATGTCTGTGTCAAAAGAGTCTGCCGCCTGTGAACTCAGACACGTTTCAACACCTTCCATCAACTTCTCATTACTGTTGAAGAGCTGTGATCACAACCAGTTCTTCAGGTAGGTAAACTGGTTGGTAGTCACTCAGAGTGAGATGAAGGTTGTAAGGAGGATGGTCGAACAACTTCCAGTTGAAATATTCCAGCAGTGCTCGATTGCAAACAGCTGTATGAGGACCCGTATTGACATGAAGGAGCACTACACCGTATGTCAGCATTCCACGTCTTTTGTCCTAAATGGCCCTACACAGCTTTTTGGTGTTTCGCAATTCACTTCTGACATTATTGTGTTCCCCTTTTGCATGAATTCCACAATCACCATTCCTGCTCTGTCCAAGAAAACAGTTGCCATGAGCTTTCTGGCAGACAACGTTTGCTTAAACTTTTCGGTTTGTTAGACGAATATGTGTGCACTGCGTTGACGGTTATTTCATTTATCCATGTTCGGAGTTATAAGTACATAACGTCTGTAACTGAGAAAGCGTTTTTAAATAAACTATGGAACGCGAAATAAAACGTAAATGCTATAAGTTTATAGCCGCTTATCTCGAAGAGTTTAATAGGGGAACCAAAAGCACATGCGCGCATACATTAATTTGATGTTTTGCTATTGACTGGCTTTTAGACCTATTCTAGCGAGATGTCCGTTGAAAATTCAACGAGAACATCTGAGGTTCTCCATCTCTAGCTGCGCCTTCCGAAGGAAACCTTTCCATTGTTCCGCTGTTACATTACAGAATTCGAAGGAGAGTTTGAATTTGCGATTTAAGAGAATTTGGACGCCCTGAACTTTAAATGTTCTGGAAAGGAAGTTTACAACAATAAGCACAATAATATATTAAAATATTATTATTTTTTTATTGCTAGTGGGGTGGGACTAAGACCCTTCTACTGCGGCCACTTCTGGCCTATTGTACCAGCCCCAGATGATAGGTGAGGGTGATTGTGGAGCAATTGGTGGAATGAAGATTGACAGGGGAAACCGAAGTACTCTGAGAAAACCTACCCCGCCCCAATTCATCCACCACAAATCCCACTTGACCAGACCCGGGATCGAACCCGGGCCGCCGCGGTGGGAAGCCAGCGACTAACCGCGTGAGCTATGGCGCGGCCAAGATTTCACTTACTAGGAACGCTATCAAAAATCTAAATTCGCCGTAGGCGGAGTTCATGACTACAATGCCGACTGACACATAGATATAATTCATCGGCTCCTGGCGGTCCTATTCATAACTACAAATAACAATTTATTCTTTATAATGAGAGAATGACATGCCTTAGACTTTCATATGTGGATGTTTTATGAATGCGCGCGATACGTACCACAATCTAAAAATATAAAGAAAGTGAGAAGCGTAAGAATAAATTATAAGGAACTTTTAAGCCGTCTTGGAATTTATTTATTTTTTTTTTTTCAGAATATCGGTCTATGGAAGCCACGGGCTAAGTACATAACCTAATAATAGATTTAGTTCAAAAACATATCCTTAGCAGTTGAACCTTCGACCCTTGTCGTAGCATGTATATTGTCGTATAAACGTAAATTTTCGAATGCGTTAAACTAATAGAGATATTCACGTTTTCTTCGAAATCACGCACGGTCTACTGAAGAGCACTGTTCAAACCAGTAATGTTTTAACGTAAACGAATACATATGGTTCTACATATAAACCAGTTAAAAGTACATGTAAAAGGCAAAGTTGTCCTTGTACTTAACCAATTGAGCACTACGCCATGAAAGAGTATGGAGGGATGGACTTGTAGATTCATATTTTCTTGACCTCGGCACATGTGGGAGTTGAGCGGTTAGCTTCAGACCCCGACCGCTTTATCCCCGGAGAAAGGGCCCCCGGCGCCCATTGGATAGGAGGCTGAATGCTCCACAGAACTGATCTGGACGGCGTGGAGAAGAGAAAATTTTTGGCCCTATCGGCACTTGAACTCAGACACCTCCGTCGTCCAGCCCGTAACCAGTCGCTGTACCGACTACGCTATATGATAACCTCCAGTTGCCATTCTAGGACGTTTGGCATCCCGTTCGAAACACAAGAGTTCTTACTCGAGATTCGAATACTAGAGGTAGGAAGTGCCATAAGGACTACGATAGATTTACCAGGTGGCTGGTGATGCCGTAAGCATGACGACAAAAGACAGGCGTGTCGCGTTATAATGTGACACGGTATGGAGCAAGTCAGTCCGTCTAGCTCCGTGTCTGCATCAAGAGGTGTTCTGTAGTGATACAATGGCCGAACATTTGATGAACTGTGCACCGATAGCCTATACTAACGGGGATCTAGTGTACTGTTTCATTAGTGTCTATCTGCTATGCCAATGCACAAATGGAGACGTTAAGCACTAAATGATGGTTGTCACTGGACAATCCTTATTGTGCGCCGCCATCATGGCTGAGGAGGAAGAGAGTCGGATTGGAACGTCTACGGAAGACAACATAGAGCAGGATTCCCTCGAGGTATGTTCAGAACGTGTGGATATGATCCGATGTTACTGGCATTAGACCACTTAAGTACCGCGAGACTAAGAAGTATATATGCTTTCATGGTTCCTAATGAGAATACAGGACAATCATTATAAAGGCCTAAGTAAACCATTTGAAAATATGGTCAAGTGCTGTGAACCGGAGGAGCAAATAGAAAATGGGAACAGGTTAAATCATAGAAATTTATACTGCAATTTGGAGCAGAGCCTGTCTGTGAACAAATTCCTGAAAACGTGGAGATGAAATAACAGAGGACTGTAGAATGATATATATATTTTATAATTTGCAAATTTTGTCTATTAATGTCAGGCTTATTAAAATAATGGCATGAATGTAGCATTTTGGTTATGGAACTCGAAAACTCGTAGGGAAGAAACTACTTGGTAGAAGTAGGTAGGCGAATAATATTAAAATAGATCATATTACAAAAATATTATGGACTAGACGGAATTGACAAAGAATAGGATTCCAGGCCAGAATTTTTTTTAATTCGGAGACGTACCTTCGGTTTTAATAAAAATAAGCTCTTCTTCATCAGGTGAGCAACTATGAACTCTTCAGGGAAAGTCCTGTATCATGAAGTTCGTTAGTTTGTTATTTAATAAATTGTTTGTTGGTTGGTCACTTAGTAGTTATGTAATTTGTTAGTTTGTTAGTACCTCATTGGGCTTAATATTCTTTTACTGCCGACACAAATATATTGCTGCTGATTCAAAACCGCTGTTTTCAAGCTAGCCTCAATTTATAGACCAATAAATTATTATTTACTTACATTTAAGAATATAAGAACAAAACCGAAAAGTGTTTGAAATAAAAGTTTCTGCACTGAATAATACATGTATTTACATTTTGTGCTATAGGGAAATGCCTTATACCAATAGCTTTTTCTCTGCGAAAACCGATATAATTACATGTGAGTTTCTTGCAAAGTAGATTTACAGTATGAGCCACGCCAGGATTTTTATCGTGGGGGGGGGGGGGGGGTGAGGGCAGCCAATTTTCCAAGTATGAAGGTAGCCAGAAAATGTGTTCAAAAACTCATGTTTAAACCGTTTAAGATAATTTCACTGTTAGCCCGACAGAATGCAGGATAAAATCTCTCACCGGAAAAAATCTAGACCGAGAATATTTGAGGACAAAGTGTTAAGGGGAATATTTGGGTCTAAACAAGAAGTAAACGGAGGACAGAGAAAAATCGCATTATGAACTTCACACTGCGCATTCTTTGCTTAAGGGTACTGGAAGCACGGAATAGGCATTGGAGACATAAGAAATACAATAATTTAGTCAGAAAGCCTGGAAGGATAATCTTGCACTGGAGACATAATGACAGATGGGAATGTCACATAGGAATGGATAATGAGGGGATAGGGTGTAAGGATGTGGGTTGAATTCTATACTTAGTCGATACAGGGTCCAAAGATGGGTTCTTGGGAATAAGGCAATGACTCATTGGGTTTCATAAAATGAAGAGAATTTCAAGACTAACTTAGCAACTGTCAGGTTCCCAATATGGCTTTTCTTCGCGTTTGCCGATGTCTTACTCAAGTTGTTTTGCAGGCGACGCAGCTGGAATCTGGTTCTCCGCGCTTGGACCTGAGTGGTGAGGGTGTGGAGCGCTTACCCGAGTCCCTGCCCACTTTCGTACACGTGCAGGAGCTGCATCTGGGACGCAACCGGCTGGGTGACGGAAACCTCACGATGCTCAGTCTGCTCCCCAGGTTAAGATCCCTCCACCTGTCCGGCAACGCACTCCGGGTTTTCCCAACTGATTTGCTGCAGCTGTCCTCACTGTCCCACCTCGACTTGTCCAACAATTCCCTCACAGAACTGCCAGAGGGCATCTGTAGCCTCATCAGGTAATGATTCATTGATTGATTAATGACTGGTCGACTTTCCTAGTTTATTTAATTACTTACTTACTTACTCATGGAGCTGAGCCCTTCTTGAGGAGCCGCCAATTCTGCAGCTACTCAAGAATTTCCCAGTATTTTATGGAACCCGAAGATTCATCACCGTGTTCACAAGAGCCCTCCACTGGTCCCTATCCTAAGCCAGATCTATCCAATCCATATCATCCCATCCTATCTCTCTAGAATCCATTCTAATATTGTCCACCCACTTACACCTTGGTCTTCCCTGTGGTCTCTTTCCTTCAGGCTTTCCCACCAATATCCTATACTCATTCCTCGTCTCCCCAATTCGTGCTACATGACCTGCCAGCCTCATCCTCCTTGAGTTGATCATTCTAATTATACTTGGAGAAGAGTACAAGTTATGAAGCTCCTCATTATGCAGTTTTCTCCAACCTCCTCTCACTTCATCCCTCTTCGGTCCAAATATTCTCTTCAACACCCTGTTCTCAAACACCCTCAGTCTATGTAGTTTATTTAATTACATTTTTTAAATGTGCGTGTTACGTATCGTAGACTGTAAGGATTACTTATCTGATGATGAAGGGCATGGAAGGGAATGCTCATGGGCAGGCCAGATTGATAAAAACCACGAAGAACCACCGTCAAGATGGTCAGTCTCAGGGCCGAGATTCGAAACTGGAATCTTCTGAGTATGACGCTTCCTCAGTAACGTGGGTTATGTAGCGTCAAATAAAAGGATTAATTTTGAACGGTGAATTGAAAATGGCGTCGAAGAATGGGGCCATTGCACATGGGAAGCTACTATCCCAGTATCTGCATCAGGGTCTGAGGAGAGGTATAAAAGACGCAAGTGTGGATGACTGGTTCCTGGGCTGAATTTGGAACCCGGAACCTTCGACAGCGCCGCTTGATTGCAAGGCAGTTGCTGTTTCCTTTCGCTCATAGCAAGGGACAACACACGCAAGGACTGAAGTTCACTGGCCCTTCGTTGGAATCGCAACAGAGAGCCGTCTGCTTGTCCGTCTCCCCTTTTCGATTTTTAGAGGCGCCCGCATGGTACAAGGTCTTCTATCAAGCGTCATAGTTACTCAGCTTTTCAAGAAAGTTCCTAATTTTATGAAACGCGAAAGTCCATTGCCATGTTCAAAAAGCCCTCCCTGCATCCTACTTGAGCCAGTATAACACAATCCGCATCCTTAAACCCTATATGCAATAAGGTAAAGCTATCCCTGTAACAGGTCCTGGAGTCCCATAGGGTTGTAGGACGTCGAAGCTCCCACGTTTTCTAGAAAATCGGTTCACAGATGGCGGTAAGGTTGTCAGCCTTACGCGCCGGCCGCCCTTTACCCTCTAGGAAGATTCGTGATACTCATTTCTGTTAGAGGTTGAGTCGAACAAAAGCCATAGTGCGGCTGGAAAGGTTAAGTTAACTGAAAAATCCAATGACCTCATCGTAAATCGAACCCGCGAACTTCAACCAACTCTGTTACCGCGTGCCTCCCATTTTAATATTATCTTCCTCTCTGCATCTAGGTACCGGGTAACTTGCCTAAAGTGGTATTCTGACTTGTATTCGGAAGGTGCCTAATTCAAACCTCGGCAGCAATACCGATAGTCCGACTGTAGTTTTTGGGGGGGAGTTTTCTCACTCCCCCAAGGAAAATTCTGGGATATTAACTCAGATTAGATCAAAACCGCTTCCTTTCACATTCCTTCCAGTTCAGTGTTCATTGATAATCATATTATTCATCTCCATATTCCCAAAGCTACTTACAGCGTCGTTAAATAAATATGAGTACATGCAGACGTGCTCACAAGCTATGCGCAAAACGTTGCCATGGTTGGCAAAGGGACGAATGTCCGAGGTTATTAAATTCTGAAGGGTTGTGACGACGGTACGTGACACATGGGATTACTGGGTTTTTGGACTTTGTCCATCGTCCGGTGTTCTAAAATGCGTTAATTCTTACAATTTACAATAATTATCGCAAATTTTCCTGTTATCTCCTTTCGGAAGATCCTTATCACAGGTGCATACGTAGGTGCAGTTGTGCTGAGTAAAAAGATGACCAATGTGGAGTTTAGCTCTTTCTAACGGAACCCACAGAGTCGGTGCTTCTCACCTTTTTGCCTGAGGACGGAAACAGATCCACCTACTGAAACGCTGTGTTTTTAACAATAGACAGTGGAAAAAACTTCCAAAACTCCTATTCCCGCCCGATGTTATGTTTACAAGAAAATGAATGTCGTTTGCTCGGACACCTGCTTGTTCGCATTGGTCAGTAATCTAAGTGGCCTTAGTTATCAAGAGACATCTATGTTTCTACAGGACTCCGCTGTGAAAGTAGAGGTTAATTTCAATATATTCTAAGATTAATTACAGTTTCCTCTCTTTCTCTTTTTGTTCTCTTCACGCGCCCCTGCGTACTGTTACGTCAGTCTTTAGCAATGGCTCACTTCTGTACTTGCTCAGAGTTCAGTCGGCGTAGCTGGGCGCTAGAAGTATCCATTAGCACTACCAATAAACTTGTATGCAATATTAAAATCGAGTATTCTTTCTTCATATATTCATAGAACCCCGCGACGAAGACAGACTAAATATCAAAACTGTGTGTATTTAGACTCTGAAGAACTAAAAGTCCTAGATAATTTTTGTCGTGATGTTTTCTTTGAGAAGTGTCGTGGTTCAGAGTCATCCGTAGAAGAGAGCTCGTGAAGAAACGTGTATGGACTCTTTGACATAAATTATCGAGTGTTCATAAACAAGCAAATCTTACAGATGAGGAAAACATTTCAACAGCATCAGATTGGTGAGTCTTATATTACAATAGAACATTTAAAAATACTACGATGTATTTGTTCTGATAGTAAGAAACAGTGCTGTGTATCGGCCCCCTCACGTAAAATATTAACTACCTATTTTCAAGAAACCCAGCAATTCTTGCGAAATTGGTAGTTTCTCAATAAGCCAAGAATTTTCTGCCTTTTATCAATTATCACTTTCGTTGTCGTGCTCATAATAGGCTGCTAATGGATCTTATCCAGTCCACTCCCTATTTAATATCCAATTTAGTACCATCCTTGTACGCCTAATTCTCTCACATGATCTATTCCCTTTAAATTTTCCAACTAAGGGACTGTATAGGTTTCTCAACTGTCGCATATATGCTACACATCTAGCCCACCCCACGTTTCTTGCTTGATTCCCCTAACAATAATTTGTGAAGAGCACAAGTTATCTCGTACCTCATAATGTATTTTCTTCAACCTCCTGCTAATTCATCTCTCCAGGAGCCACACTTTGACATCAAACACACCGAACCTTTAATTAGAGACATAGAACACGTTCCACAGGCATAGCTAATAACATACTTAACACGCTAGCTCTGCTGAAGCAATTATAAATGACATGGTACAATCCGTGCTCAAGTATTTATTGCAACAAGATCAAATATTTTAAGTAAGTTTATACATTCAAATACACTCAAAAATGTTATTTATGCTCTTATGTTAAACCTTGTGTTAACTTGCTTTACTTCCGTTGATATTTGAGCCGGAAATGTTTAAGAAAAAACCTAATCATGAGCACCTAATATCAATAACTTGACAAGTTCTGGATATTAAGATACTAAACCTGACAGAATATAAATATTTTCCATGCTTTAATCTAGATGTCTCTTTTGCTTTTTTGGCAAATGTTACCTATAAAATACGTAAACTTCATAAAAATATTCAATCTTACATTTTCTTCAGAATATTAAAAGGACAAATATCTAGCTCTTCACTGAAAAACAAATACACATTGTTCTCAATCTTAACTTTACCATTCGCTTTGTTACAGTCCTCGGTTACGTAATTAGGTCTTCAGACAAATATAAGCACTGACACACGATTTACAAATTTCGTCCAGTTGGTACGTCGGCCAGCACTTTGACTTATTTCACTAGCCTCGGATGTTGATAAATAAGTGTGGAGTAGTTGGAATGAGAACAGGCGGTGGAAACCGAAATAATCGGGTGGGTTGAATTTAATTTAAACGAGATGTGGGTGTACTGATTTCATGTGAGAGAAATAGAATTCACCAGACAATAGCAAGAGTCTTCCACGCCAAATTATACCGAAATCCGTGAAACGGTCTCGAAGAGGAAACTGCATACGAATGGCTACACACGACCTTACCATTATGCAAGTATTGTATGCTCATAATGTCAAGAATGAAATTGTTGACCTGAACTTATGCCTATTGTTGCAGCCTGGAGGAACTTCGGGTCGATCGCAATGCACTCTGTCGGCTGCCGCGTGCACTGACGCGCTTGCAGAAGTTGCGCAGTTTGCTGGTTGGCCACAACTATCTTACCGAATTATCGGGGTTCTTGCTCGCCATGAAGGGCCTCACTTCTCTGGTAAGCGTTTATTGGTTAACTCTTGCGCGAATGAGCAACTAGGCTTCCGAAGTTAGGAGTGAAATATCCAGTTCAAACCAAAGAAGTATTCATATTGTAGCACTAAAACATATGATCCTTTATTAACTTTAATCTCTTACAAGTGAACCCCAGCTTGCGAAATTATTATGTTCTTTGAAATGTGTTTTTGTAAGTTGAATGTCCGTAAGTGGAATTTATTTTTTTTTCCATAAGATAGGATGTTAAATTTGTTAAAACGTTCTTACGCGCGAGTTCCTGTGTTCGTTAAATGAACTGGGGGTGGGGGGTGGGGGTCACAATTTATTGGTCTGTGCAGTGCTCGTAAATATGAATTGTTCGTTTCTTGAAAGTTCTTAAATAGAGATACGCTTGCAGGTAATAAAGAGTCATCAGGCCTAGTTTGGGCTAATCACAAAAAATTCGGCACAATGAATAAAGTGTAATACTAATGTAAATTCAAGTTAAGGGTTCCCTAGTACACGTATTTAGTGTACATATTTACTGTACCTATATCTGTGTATCTGGAAATCGAGCCGAATCCATCCCCGAATTCTTTAGTGGTGTTTTTAATATCTTCAGAACTCCGACCAGAGGTAAGCTTAATTAAATACTAGCAATGAAATTTGTAAATACTTCGGGACATATCTACAGCATGTTCAGTCATGTTCAACATTTCGGTGGATACAATATTTCGCTCAACAGGATTTCTGGCTGCCATTCACTTCGAAACAAATCAATCAGGCAGCCAATTAAAAATTAGGCGTGGTTTATATTGCGTTCAAAATGATGGAAAGATTATCATGAATGGTGGCAGCAATTATTTTTTTTTGCTATTGGGGTGGGACTAAGTCCCTTGTACTGCGGCCACTTCTGGCCTATTGTACCAGCCCCCGATGACAGGTGAGGGTGATTGTGGAGCAATTGGTGGAATGAAGATTGGCTGGGGAAACCGAAGTACTCGGAGAAAACCTGCCCCAGCGCCAATTTGTCCACCACAAATCCCACTTGACCAGACCCGGGATCGAACCTGGGCCGCCGCGGTGGGAAGCCAGCGACTAACCACTTGAGCTATGGCGTGGCCCATGGTGGTAGCTATGTAAAAATATGGAATGAGGCAGTTTTGACTGATTCGAGATCTACAGGGAATTCGCCATGACAACTAAAATAAAAAATAAGCAAAATTTGTAACTCTGTTGAGATTCGAAACGGATATTTCCACACAATTCATAACGAAAGAAATGAAAGCAATAACTGAAACAAAAACATCTCACTAGATTTCATGTGTAGCTAAGCGACCAGCTTATTTCTGACAAAATGTATTTTTTTCTTAAAAATGAACATTCTGGAAAACACTTGTCTAAAAATATTTTCATGTGAGCTTGTAATTCTTGTTTGCAGGATTTCCAGGGAAACCGAGTGGAGAGTGACAAGATACCGGACAAGAGTGAGGCAAACAGCAATCCTCTAAGCCGAGTGAACCTACGGGCTAACCTTCTGAAGGGGAACATTGTTCTGGGCAATTATGGGGTAAGTGCAGGCATTTCACAGACATTTACAGGGTCTCCTCAAGTCACATGTTGATAGGGAGCGTCCCTAGAGACGAATATGCTGTTAACTAAATTCGTCGGGTAGAGATTTTTTGGGAACCTAATGGTTACATCACTGGTCAAGAAATTCTCCGCTTTTGGGGAATTCAAATTTTAGTACAGGGTTCACCAGGGCCCGTAACGAATCCCGTCCTGAAGCAGTTGAATGCAGTTCACATCTTCACAACCGCACCAAGTGTTACCTTCCTTTAAGTTTTGAAGGTAAAAATTGTCTATGCATTTCTCAAAAACCCGTATTGTGCTGCAGGCCTCTATGCAAGAGAGACAGAGAAGGAGTTCGCCAATGGTGTGTGTGTGTGTGTGTGTGGGTGTGAAGGTGTGAAGGTGTGAGGGGGGTGGCTGTTAAATGAGTGTTAATTTCTGCTGATCTTTTGTTCACTTCGCCCCATTTGGTTGGCAGTCGTCTCAAGAAGCAAATATAACTGCGTTATCACGATATCAGGATATTTTTTTTTTAATTTTAACGACTTTTAATAAATTTGAGCTGCTTTTAACTGATGGGAACATGGTAATTTTCCGTCAACTACGGCGGAATTCAGTCTTCTGTCGGCCCTCCTAGTCTTTACTGCGCGCTCCCTTTCGATTGCATAATCATATTAATATTCATCAGGCCAATGAATTATCTTAAGCTACTCGATTTTTAGGCCGGATCCAATTCACCAGTTTCACCTCTTTCTTCAGTAACGTTGTATCAGGGATGTATTATTGAAGTTGGAATTTAATTATTAAATAATTAAAAATTGCGCGCCTCGCGATTAATGTTACGAAAAGGATGAGTTTGTTAAGTAAAAGGACAATAAGACAGCTAATTGGGCCGACCCACCCTCATCGCTGAAGATAAACTCTGAAAACACACGAAGAATGGACATTTGAAGAATTAACCAGTCGATATGTTGCAATGTAGATTTAATTTTAATTAACTCGTTTAGAAACAACAATTTAACAATATGAGATAAAATGGTAACCATGTAATCTTGGTCACAGAGATACTGGTTTTTCGGACTTTATCAATCGTGCTGGTTTTAAGATAACTAAGAAAAACACGACGTTTCGGAAACTGGATCTGTTTCCGTCCTCAGGTGAGGGAAAACACCTATTCTGTTGGGTCCCTTAGAAAGAGCTAGACTCAATCACTGGACCGTGACTGAGGCGAGCCATTACTGTCACAGGTTAAGTTTCTTGATGCCATCGAATCCGAAAAATTTACCATTAAGACGCCATATTACGTAGCACATGATAATAAGGACGGCGCTATTCGGGCTTAATTACGTCCAGAGGATATATTCAAAACAAGATATGTTAATAATAATAATTCAATTCAATTCTTTATCATTTATGCGCCGAATCAACAGCCGCAAGGCCAATTACAGACAGAGCACAAGGTAGATACAAGTAATTACATTATGGACAAACACTACATAAAGTCAAAGACAAATTACAGGCACGCACTGGAGGAAAACACAATAATGCAGGCAAGTAAACAAACAAAAAACAATAATAATAATAATAATAATAATACATAATTTTGTAATAGCCGAATTAATTAAATTAAAATGTGATAAATTTTAAGTGCCTGAGTAGAACAGCGACAAATATTTAGCTAATGCTATAAATTACAAAGCTCCTCTTTATTCAGTTTCTCCGTCTTCCTCTTATTTCCTCTCTCTTATACCCAAATATTCCCTTCAGCAATTTATTCTCAACTATGTTCAATTATATTTGTCCTTTAACTCAAGTTCAGTCCTCAAATGGAGGACCATCCCTTGTCAGCGGCTGGCGACTGCTTATTCAACACAGTAACAGTTAATCTCCGTATGTGGATTCCGTCTCCTCTAATTTAGCCAGTAGAAAAAATTCACGAAAATTATGGGATATGCCTTATATCCATTGCTTGCCCTCAGTAAACTTATTTGAGCATTATGTGAAGCAATGAGCAAACCTGTCCAGCTGCGTGCGTTTCAGAATGCTCCCATTCGAATCTAGCTCAGTACATCGTCCTGGTATGACACGGTTTTCCTTAAGGGCCCCAGGCTGCTAGGATAGGGAGTGACAAGCCGGAGCTACATGACTTGTCACTCGGAAATGTAATGAATTAGACAGATTTAGAAAACACTAAAAATTCACAAAACACCGGGATTTAAATGAGAATTTGTCAAGAACGAAGCCATTCATAATTTTTCACTTATACAATTAAAATTTTACATGCAATGCACACAAATTACATTAACAAAGACTAGAACTTTTTAAGATTTACCACTGAGCCGAACTCTAGTGTCATAAAATGAAAAGCATTCCCACCTCAGATGTTCGTAAAGGCTTCTATGTTCATGTGATTATTAAGAAATTATGAAAGAATGAAACTGAAATGGTATAAATGATATTAATGCAAAATTGAACGAATGTTGGTTAGCTGACCCAAAAGCTATTTGGAATGGTCAGAAACGTACACAGCTCTACACACGAACATGATATGGCAAAGTTAAAGGTAAAGTTGTCCCTGAACTTAAGTAAGTAAGCACTACACCATGAAGGCGTATGGGGGAGTGGATGTATAAATCCACATTTTCTTGAATTCGGTACTAGTTGGAGGTGAGTGGTCAGCTTCACTCCCCGGCCGCTTTACCCCTGGGGAAATAGCCCCGTGTACACATTGTATAGGAGGCTGGGTGGCACCCAGAGCCGGTCTGGACAACGTGGAGAAGAGAGAATTCTTGACCCTACCGAGACTAGAACTCCGACCCCTAGGTCGTCCAGTCGGTAGCCATTTGCTATACTGACTGCGCTATGCCGGCTCTGGTAAGACTACTTATTTTCACTTATTAGAGTTACAGTGAAGAATAATGTTGTATGACCGATTAATGGCAGTTATTTTTGTTGAAATGTGTAAGTAATAATAAGGTTACGTATTAAATATCTTATTCTATTGGTGTACAGTTGTGTTGGTAAGCCTGTAAAATTGCTAACCTAAGTTCCCGTATTAAATAACCTCGGCCGGTCATTGGCTATCTCGGCTTTTCGCGGTTTCTGTCAGTCCATTTAGGCCAATGGTGGGATCGTGCTTCAAATTAGACCACGCCTCTTTCCTTCTACGCTTTTCAGTTCATCATTTTCACCATCCTACCACTGGATGCTGTATAAGCTATCGACAGTATCGTTAAATAAACCACAAAGGGGGTAAAACATGAAGAAAGCAGTCTTCTGGGATTTGGCACCGTGTATATGTGGTTCTCACGGTCTCTTCGCTTGCGGATTTCTTATATATTTCCTTCTACCCTGAAGATGGAGGCGATACGTTCCTCCGAAACGTCGGTTAACACCACATATACACGGTGTCAAATTCCAGAAGACTGCTTTCTTCATAGTCNTGTCCCTGTTTAGTATGCTGCCACCATCTTGTTTTTTCAAGAAATCTCGTCTTATCTTAGCTTGCATTACTGTCTGGGTTAAACCGTAATTCGCCGAANGTAAAACATATTAAAATGGTAAGGTAGGCTAAGGTAAGGGTAAAAGGTAAATCTATCCCTGCAACAGGCCGTGAAGGCCCATAGGGTTGTGAGACGTCGAGGCTCCCACATTTTCTCTAGACAATCGGCTCACAGATGGCGGTAAGGTTGTCAGCTTTACGAGCCGGCCTAGGCAGGTAAAAAATTCCCTGGCCTGTAGTTCGCAAGCAAACTATACCGACCGAGCGACCGCCACTTGTCGAAGTTAGTTCCAACTTTTACGGATAGAGGGTGTCGCGTAGTCAGCGCAACGAATCCCCACGGCCGTTAATCTTGGTTTTCAAGACCGGAGCCGCTATTGTCGTGAAATAGCTCCTCAATTATCCTTATGAGGCTGAGTGAATCCCGTTCCAGACCAACTACTTCTCAGAAAATCTGGTAAAGTCGGGAATCGAGTACGGGACCTTTGGATCTGTAGCCAGGAAGTCTGGCCACTAGACCACAGAGGCGGTCCAAGGGAAGTTAAACAGTGGGAAAATGCAAACATACGCTTCTCATACGCTATACTTCGAAGATAAATCTATTATTGCGAACTTCATCACTCAGCAGAGTATCATAAATTATTCTTATGATTTTTCGTTAAATGTGCACCTTATCAAAACAGTGGCGATTAGTTACAGTCTCACGTGCGACAGTACGTCCTATAAAAGTTCAAAAGTTTAACAGTTTAAAGTCCGTCACTACATGTTTCGACCAAGGTGGTCATCATCAGGTGTTAAAATATTTGGTGAGGAAAATGCTGTCTTCTGTTGTGGCTTATGTTGTCCTCTGCGTCTATAACATGTCCGAATTTTCTGTTAGAATTCATGTATGCGAAATGTTTTATTATCCGAAGAGTTTTTAATAAGAGTTATAAATGTCAGTAACTTCTATATTTTCTCAATAATGTAAAGGTCAATTAGTATGCCGTGTTATGTACGCGTTTGGCTGATTGATACGAAAGAGGCGAATTTATCCCCATGCTTAATTAATTATGCATCACGGCATGAAGGTGTAAGGGGAGTGGAGGTATAGCTCTACCATTTCTGATCTCGGCACTAGATGGAGTTGAACGGTCAGTTTCACGCCTCCGTTGTTCACCCACGGTACCCACTGGATAAGATGCCGTGTATGCCCCAGAGCCGGTCTGGACATAATGGAGAAGATACAAATTTCTTGTCTCTGCTGGGAATTGAACTGTGGTCGCCCAGCACGTAGCCCGTCGCTCTAACAATTGAGCTATCCCATCTATGGATCAAAATTAAATTCCAGCAGCAATATGTCATGCAGATTTCAAATACCAGTTGTATGTGGCATTGCAGTGAAGTTGTTGCTCCACAGTCGGGCGTATGGACGTGACGCTAACATCCTAACAGCGAGGTCAAACTTTCCCTGTCGGCAGGAACCACGGTGCATGGTCATGACACTGTTGTTCACC